TTTCTTCCCCCACACACTCATGCATATGTAACATGTAAGATTCAAAGCATAACTATATCGTGACTCATCCTTAATAAATCAAAAAGAAAAAAAAATTAGTTAGGTTTAAAGTTTTGTTTGTATATGATCTAGCACCCAAGACTCAGACATATCCAATTATTATATAATAAACCAAAAAGAAAATAATAATAATAATAATGTTTATAAATGATCAACATAAAACTCATCTTGGAAAATACTGGATTTTTTATATGCAAAAATTTGATTAGAAAAATATCTCTAACTATAAAATAAATAAATAAATAAATGCTGCTCTTTGTCTTCTGTCTTTTCTTTTGAAAACTTATTTATCTGCACATGTTTGTAAGATTAGTAAAACGTGATGCCTATGGCCTTTTTATCTTAAACCTACATCTTAAAAAAATGAGATAAATTAAAAGTCTGCAGTCTTTATTTTTACTTACGAAAAGTTTCAAAAAAATATTTGTGAGTGAAACAATTTTTAGATCTCTACATTTTTTTATTATATTCCTTTCTTTCTCCAAACAATCGGGGATCTTATAAAACTTTTTCTAATTAGCTTGGCGAGAAAAATGCGAAGGTAATTTTTTAATTTATGTAAATAAAATTATGTAAATAAATTATATAATGTTTTATTTTTTTCTCAAATTTCTTTTTATTTTCTCAAGTGATTCTCTCCGGGTTTACTTGATTAGGCGTGGCAAGCAAATATAATCGAGTGCCAAAGTTTCTTATTTTTTTATAATTATATTTTAATTTTATTATTTGAATAAAATGTCTACTAGAAAGTATAAATCTGGATATGAAAAATGTAAGAAAAAAAGAAAGGTAGAAGAACTAATTCAATCCCAAAAAGGTGCACTTGATAGATTTGTTACTAATATTAAACTTCAAATACTAGAAGAACAAGATAAAGATTTAAATGAAAATATAGTTGAAAATTGTGAAGAAAAATTTGAAGATAACAATTCAAATTCACCAAAAAGTTAATGAAGAATATGATGAAAATTTAGAAGATGATGTTTCAATCAATAAAAGTGAAAATACTAATGATGAAGATGCAACAATAATTAAAAATATTTACAATCCGGCACAATAGAAAAATTTAGACTTAAAACTGATTGATTTATTAGTTGAGAAAGGTCCAATTAGAGAAATTTTAGATTTTCCAAGAGAAAAAAACTCTAGATATTTTTTTACAGTTCATTACATTCGAAAATTACCAAATGAAGAAAAACATAATAGAAAATGGCTAGTATATTCAAAAGAGTTGGATAAAGTGTTTTGTTATTGTTGTAAATTATTTAGTTTGAAATCAAATATTCAATTAGCAAATGAAGGGTGTGGAGATTGAAAAAATCTTAGTGCCAAACTTAAAAGTCATGAGACAAGTAATGAACATGCTATTAATATAAACGATTGGGTTGATGCTCGGATGAGATTGCTTAAAAACAAAACAATTGATAAGCATTTACAAGAGAAAATAAATAAAGAGAAAGAGCATTGGAGGAATGTATTATTAAGAATTATTGTTGTTGTAAAAGCTCTTTCAAAATTAATTTGGCATTTTGTGGTACAAATGAGAAGATTATCGGGACAATAATGAAAATTTTTTGAGTTTAATTGAAATGATTGATGAGTTTGACCCAATAATGCAAGAACACCTTAGACGTATTCAAAATGGAGATATTCATATGCATTATCTTGGTCGTAATATACAAAATGAGTTGATAATATTTTAGCATTAGAAATAAGAAATACCATTATCGGAAAAATCAAAGAATCAAAATATTTTTCAGTTATACTTGATTGTACTCCGGATGTAAGTCATCAAGAACAAATGTCTCTTATATTAAGATGTGTAGATATTTCAACAATTTCAATAAAAATAGAAGAGTATTTTATAGATTTTTTAAAAGTGGATGATACCTATGGTGAAAGTCTTTTTAATGAACTTACAAGAAAGATAAAAACTCTTGAACTTGACGTAAATGATGTGAGAAGGCAAGGATATGATAATGGGTCTAATATGAAAGGTAAACATCAAGGTGTACAAAAAAGATTATTAGATATAAATTCTAGAGTATTTTATACACCATGTGGTTGTCACAATCTTAATTTAGTTCTTTGTGATATGGCTAATTCATGTGCTAGTGCTATGACATTTTTTGGAGTGACACAACGTATATATTCATTATTTTCTTCTTCTACAAAAAGATGAAAACTTTTACAAGATCATGTTTCTAATTTGACATTTAAGTCATTATCACAAACACGTTGGGAAAGTCATATTGAAAGTATAAAAGCAATTAGATTTCAAGCTCGGCAAATAAGAGATGCTTTATATCAATTAGCGAAAACTAGTGAGGATCCTAAAACAAAAAGTGAAGCTATTTCTTTAGCAACTTATGAGATTGAAAATTTTGAATTTCTATTAGGCATGATTATTTGGTATGATATGTTGTTTGTTGTTAATACGGTTAGTAAATATTTACAATCTAAAAATATGGATATTGCTCTTGCAATAGACCACTTGAAAGGTCTTATTTCTTTTTTTAAAAGCTATAGAGAAAATGGGTTTACATCTTCTATGATCTTGGCTAAGGAAATTACGGAACAAATGAATATAGAACCAAAATTTCATAAAAAGTGAACAATAAGAAGAAAGAAACAATTTGATGAGATTGAAAATGAAGACATGAAATTATCTATTGAAGAATCTTTTATAATTAATTATTTTACATATTTAGTTGATCATGCGATTTCCTCTCTTCAAAATAGGTTTGAACAATTTAAAATATATGAAGATAATTTTGGTTTTCTTTATAGTGTAGAAAAATTAAAATTACTCGATGATGATATTTTGAAAAAAAATTGTTTAAATCTTGAAAACTTTCTAAAGCACGATATGCTTTCGATATTGATGGTTTAGATTTATTTTCAAAATTAAAAGCTTTAAAAGAAATTATAACTATGGAAATAAAAACACCACTTGTCGTATTAAATTTTATAAAAAAAGTAAATTCTTTTCCAAATGCATGGATAGCATATAGAATACTATTAACTATCTCTCATTCTTGTAGCTTCGACTGAAAGAAGTTTTTCAAAATTAAAATTAATAAAATCTTATTTACGTTCAACTATGTCACAAGAAAGATTAAGTAATTTGGCTATATTATCAATTGAAAAAGATTTGCTTTGTAAACTTAAATACAAAAATTTAATTAAAGATTTTACATCTCAAAAAGCAAGAAAAATAAATTTTAAATAATGTTTAATATTTATTTGTTTTAAGAAAGAGTCTCTAAAATATTATTTTATCTAGGGCCACATATATTATAGAGCCGGCCTTGCCTAAGGCGGCAGTATACTTTCCTTCCGTCGTAGAAGGACAAACAAAACTGAAAAATAAAATAATATTGCACTGAAAAATAATTAAGATATACCAAGAATATTTGTTTCCTATTTAGATTATACCAGGTATAGGGTTGTAAAGAATATACATGTAATAAGAACTTTTGAGGAGATTACACTATTCAGGTTGAAAGACTCCCGATTGTTAACTCTCTAAAGTTTGTCACTTATGAGTGACGATATTTCCCTTCTTCAATGTTGAATATTTATCTTAATCACCTTATTCCAAATATGTCAACTTGTGAAACCATGAAGTCTGGCACTTCACAGTGTTTCCTTTATTCCGTTTTTGGCTCAAAAAGAAAAAGTGAAATCAATCTGATCAATCTATCTATCATCTATGCCTTTAAGGAAAGAAATAAACAAAAACAAAATGAAGGAAATTAAGTGTTTCTTTTCCTGCACCATTTTAATTCGTAACGTTTACTGGAAAAGAAAAACTGAATGTTCAATCTATCATTTCCCTAAGAATCAAGAAGAAGACACATCTAGTGTCACAGGATATAAAAGGCTAAGCAATCCTGATTGAAAGATACACTGGAATTTCAGTTTATGGCATCCTGAAGGAGAAATGCCTTGAAAAAGCGATTAAGTAGTTCGATATTGATGCCAAAATGAAAAGGCTCTTGGTATACAGTTGCAGATCATATCAGATGTAATTGTGTTATAATATTTAGCTGAAAGTTTCTTATTAGAGTAATTTGAGCAAACTCAGGGCATGACCTGCAAGGACAGATAATAAGAAAAGCAGTTAGAACCCTCTATACAACTCCATGAGCATTTTGGTGCCCCTTTCTTGGAATGCGGATTATCAGTTCAGAAAAATTGCAGACCAATCTTATTAACCCAAATGCTGTCATTATCCACTCATAATATGCATCGCTGCGTAAAAGAATACACTCTTGACGAACAAGAATTGTCAGAAGCAGACACTTCGAACGCCCCAAAGAAGAATTCCTCCAAACGTGGCAAAGTCTAAAGTTCGTTTTTGTTGCTGCCTAATTTCTTTGCTTCTTTCTTGTTTCAGTCATAAATGACATGCAGCTTATGTATATAAGCCTATATCAGCGCTCTATAGTCTATAATCTAGATGATGCTATAAAAGCTCAAGAGCACGCTTTCGGATTGATGACCATCTCCGTATTCTGACATCAAAAAATAAAAACAAAACCAAGGCTTCGGATGCTTTTCTTCCACCCAGAAATGAACATTCAAGAGCGAGTGGAATTAGGCTATTTCAGTCTTGATTCCCTCAACAGGATTATAATAGAGAGGGTAGCATTCTTTACCTTTTAAGTTGGATACGAAATTACAAATCCCTCGAGAAGCACAATCCAACATAAATAGGCTTAAGTGCATGGTATTAAATGGAAATGAGACTGACGAATTCATTCATTCATTACAACATAAAGAAACAGGAATGATTGTGTTTAATGGGATATATCAGCATATGATCAAATCACAATAATGCGACAAGGAAATGAAGTGGAAGTATGCCCTCGTTTTGCCAAGATCGCAACAATAAACTGTTGTATAAAAACTCCTCTCTTCAGTTTCCTAGCCAATCAGCATTCTATGCTCCGGTCTTCAGGCCATCCAAACTCCTCCAAGAATGCCAATACAACTCCATTTGACCAACCAAAACCAGTCTGCATTGCAACAAAATCTTCAAATTAGTACACATGTATGTGAAATATGTATGCTTCCACACTTGCTTTTAGGTTTTGTATGTACCTGGGGTATGTATTCTCCACCACCTCCAAATTCTCCACACTTTCGTACGTCGTATTTTTCATGCATCGCGCCCGTTTTCTTGTATGTGGCATAGTTGGTTTTGATCCACCTCACAGCTATGTCTTCTGCCAATGAACTTGCTTCTTTTAATCCAGATCTCAGCAAACCTTCAACTATCATGTGTTGGAGTGGTGCCCAACCGTTTGGAAAGTCCCTGTTTTTACAAATTCTATCAGGTCATACAAAATTACATAAAGACAGTTCTCCATAGATCTGTAAAAGGTTGCTAGACCCAAAATTATGCCACACAAAGGTTTTCTGGGATCAAGGCTCAGTAAGAATGATTTTTACGTAAAACTTGCAGATAAAGGAAAAAGCAAAAGTAGAACACAAACCATTGTTGTCCTGAATTTATTACAGAAGTGGCAATTCCAAAAGCATGAACCAGGCCTGAACTTTGAAAACTTCTCTTGACTTTCTCCACCAAAGCAGAATCTTCACATTTGTGAAAATCGAGAGCATTTTCAGTATTCAAATTTATAAAAGCAGAGACAATATAGCTTAATATATTTCCATATGGAAAAAGTTAGCACATGAATCAAAGGCCATGATGATCTAAACTTTGCTTTCTAATTCTCAGATGGAAGACTATCTGCAGACCTCATAAAAATTTCAATAATAAATTAAGCTGTACCATGTCATACTGACTTTATTGACAGATAAATGCAGCATACATTGGGTCCAGGTAGTATAGCATCTGATAAATTGGGAAACAGAGCATCACTTGTTTTACTACATTTACACAATTACACCAGCGGTTTGTCCATTAGGATCAATTCAGATGACCTGCTAAAGACGTAACTTAGTGGAACTATCTGATATGACTGCTAGCTTATCCAATTGAATCGAGCGTTACTCAACATCTATAGGCTATCAGTTCAGTTGTATGAGAAGTGAAATGAACTTCTTAAGCAATACAAACACTTTCAGCAATATGCGATTAGAATTAAAAAAGTTATTCCCCTATCTCCAAATAAGAGTGATTAAGACAAGATTAATGGCAGTTCTCTCTATCATGCTCATCATTTTTGCAAATGCTCGGAAATGGACGTGGAGAGTCACAAACCTGAATGGAACAAATCTATCCACAAAGGAATAAAGTTTGAAGCATATGCATTATGATTTTGGTTACAAGCTTGCCATGTTTCAGATTCCTGAAAGTATGAAATCAACAATAATCAGAGGAAGATATAATTTTATGATATAACTTTTCAAACACATGCATGAGTACCATACCTTGCATACAGTGCCATTAGTGAGTCTGTAATCCAGCCACTGTCCCATCTCGTCATTCCAGAAAACAGAATTGATTGCATTTTTTCTTGCTTCAGCAGCTTCCAAGAAACTCTCCATTGTGCTTTTGTGTCCCAGTACTTTGGCCAAAAAGGCAATATCTAATTCCATCTAGAAAGATAGACACCATAGTTTTAAATCACCGACGTAGTTGTAAAAACGATCGTGATCGCGATTAAGGGTCGCGGCTTATCATAGTAATAAAATAACAATCACAACAATTGATGTTATGAATGCATTAATAGGCTAGCAACTGTTAATAAATTTATTCTAATTCATATATTTTTAACAGTTTTAGTAACTGGGCATAATAAAAATATCTTTAATAGCTTAATATCATATAACAATAGTTGAATTTATTATATATAAAAAATTAATAACATTTCTAATAGTTTAATATTACACAAAAAATAATGAAATACAAAGAATAAAAAATTAAAACTAAAAATAACGATCGTTATTCACCAAATAATAGTGTTGTATAACAATAACAACATATAACACCGTTATTTATGAAATGTCATTATGCTCCTTATAACAATTTATAACGATAACGGACAATGCCCGAATCCATCAAATAATAGCCGCTATTTGGAACTGTGATAGACACAACGATTAAGTGAAAATTACTAACTTAAGATTTTCTCTATAAGGTATTCAGATCATACCTTGAGTATGTAAACATTTAAATCAACAGGTAAAATTGATGTCGTAGACAACGTAGTGAATTCTGAAGTATTCCTGTAACAAGCCAAATAATCAATAGCAACTTCATTTTCCAATTCTACTAAAATTCAACAGTTATAAAATCTCCTCATTGACTTTATAACTAAATTGGTAAAGAAGTACATGACATTAAGTAATTTTTTTCTTATACATGGTAATTTTTTCAATGTGCAGCATTACCTCATCCATCTTGTACTGAAATCCCATCCAGATTCAGCTGCTGAAGCTAGATCACGGTAAAATTGTTGTTTCACAGAATTATCCAATAACTTGGAAGCAGATTCCTTATCCTGTAAGAGCAAATAAGTAAACGTGTTACAAATCTTAAGTATCTCCAATATAACTTATATGGAACAGAATCAAATCATGCTTAAGTAACGTAGCCAGAGGCAAGAACACACTATTGCAGAAGATTCAGGCCTGGGTTTGTTCCACATTGCATAATACCGACTTAAGTTGTGATTGCAACCTTGAGCATCCTGGATGGTGGCTTTATGTATCTCTACAACAAGAAGCGGTAATGTTTCAGAAAGCTCATGTAACAAAAAACAAAAATCACACAAAGAAGAGAAAGCGAAAGGCCATATCACACAGTACCAGAGTTCCAAAAGGCATGTTCTTTGAGCAACGCAGGAAGAGCTTTTCTAACCAATTCCACATCACAAGTCCTATTATATATCTCATAAACCATTGCACTCAGGAGGGGAGGTTGGCTGAAAAAAGTATGCAGGCTTATAGTTTAATTTCAATCATATCAACAATTAAATTCAAAGCAGAACTCATTTCAAGCAACTCATAACTAGATTCAAAAAAAGAAGGCATGGCCTTTGAGCTTGAAAGTCTTTAATACATAATATACTAATAAAAAAATTAATGGGAATGAAACTGGACAAGCAGCAATGGGAAAGAGATTGGTTCAATAATGGCAACCCAATTCGTGCGCAATTTATCAAAAAACAAAATAGATTTCAATGAGGAAAATTTGGCAGTTAAAATATAGACAAGCACCTGAAACAAAGAGGTAACTAGAACAGAAAGCAATAGGAAAAGATAACGAATTGCAACAAGCATTACCTCCTATTGGTGTAATAGGCCCTTGCACCATTAAGAACATAGCCATACGTATCCAGAAGGAAAATGAGATTGGTCACAATTGCTTTTGCAGTCTCATACATTTTACTTGCCAGCAAGCCCCTGCATGATAAGTACTCTATCTATATCATTCTCACCATCAAACCAAAATTTTCTTCTTGTCCAAGAGTAATACTATTGAAAGACTCAACTTTAACCTACAACAATAAATCATTAGAGTAAATACTATTCATCCCGAAAATTTCCAAGTTCCCTAATAAATCAAACTTAACTTATGGGATCCATGGGATACCAACCACTAATTAGGTCGATATTATTCGCAGGGAACTCGTTGAGGATGGATATTTCTATTGAGCAACATTATTGACAAGTTACATCATTATCAGCATTGTACAAAATTATTGACTAACTTATGAAAAGGAATTCGATGAAGAGAAGTAAATGCTTCTAACTAAGTTACCATGCAAAGCTGTATGAGAGACAAAAACTAAAAAAGACAAAGCACCAAAAAATGGAAGTGCGAAAACAGTAAATTACCTAATTACCCAATAAGAATCCCAATAATAAACCTCTCTAAAACGCGAGCCGGGAACAATCCCTGCCTCAGGCAAGGGAAGTAAAGTATGCAATTCAGGCTGTTCATGGACCCCATCAGAGACTTTTCTACTCAAATTCTTCCATAAAGAATGAACCTCAATAGCCCATGCCCTCACCTCTGGGTTCTTTACTCTAGGCAAGAAACCTTCAGGTTCAGGAACAAAATCCACTGGATCATAGTACAGAAGATCATCCCCTGCATAATCAAAGTAGGTTGCTATAAACTCCTGCAAGTCTTTGATTGAAACAGTCCCGTTTTCACCACTTCTTGGTAGGCTATCAAAAGCTTTCTGTGTCTTTGAAAGATTGAATTTTAATGACAAATCAACGTAAAATTTAGGATCAAAGTCTTTTTCTCCAAAAGTCTCGAATGCAGTTTCTTGGACACGTTCAAGAAAGGTAACTAAGGGTGTTGTTGCTACTACAGGATCTGTTGAAGTGCATTTTGGAGACAAACCAGTTGTAAGAGTCATTGTTTTTAGAGACAATAAGGAGAGAAACACAAGATTAAGGCTTTGTGGAGCCATGTCTGAAACACAGAAGAAAGGTATCCATGGAAGTGGTGATTGCTCCTATATATGTATGAAGAGGAAGGGAGGGAAGGAGGGATTTTCGAAGCTGCCGGCTACTGTTAAGAGTAGTTTTATTGTTTTTGGCTTGACATATGCTAATTCTGATTAGAAAGACAAAAAAATTGGGGCTATGGATGCAGTTATACTTGGGGTCTGACGCAAATAAAGTAGTTTTGGATTTTTTGATTTGATTTTTTGTGAGTTGTACAATTAATAGGATTTGCTATTATTAAGACACATGGTGGAATATAAAAAATTCTCTTCCCATAAATCCTCTGTCTTGCACTTGTATCTCTTCCTACTTGATTTGATTTTTTTTTTTTTTTTTTTTGAAGAATATAAGCTTTGCTACTTGATTATGTATTTGTGTATTTGTTTATGATTTTTTTTTCTGTCTGCCACTTGTGTCCCCCCCCCCCCTCTTTTTTTTTTTTTTTTTTTTTAAGAATATAAGCTTTGCTACTTGATTATGTATTTGTGTATTTGTTTATGATTTTTTCCCTTTCTGCCACGTGTATCTCTTCCTTTCCAACCTTCTCTCTCTTTTTTTAAGATATATGCCTCTCCAAATTTTAGTTTATTTTTTTAGAATATACGTTTTGCAAATTGATTTTGTATTCGTTTATATTTTTTTAAAAAATAAAAATAAAAAATCTTGTCATAGCTAAAGATAAGGTAATAAAATTCCTTTCTAATTGGGAATCACTTAGAGTATCTAAATTAAATTACTATCATAATCTTCTAATGGGTTAACGAAATTGAGAAAGAGATAGAGGGGGATTTAATTTGAAAAAAAGAAAAGAAAAGAAAAAGGTCATACAATGCTTCAAAAGCAGACTTTTTTTTTTTTTTTCTTTCAAAGCATAACCGTATCGTGACTCATCCGTAATAAATCAAAAAGAAAAAAAAAAGGAAAAAAATTAGTTGGGTTTAAATTCTTGTTTGTATAGGATCTAGCACCCAAACTCAGACATATCCAATTATCTAATAAACCAAAAAGAAAATAATAATAATGTTTATAAATGATCAACATAAAACTCATCTTGGAAAATACTGGATTTTTTATATGCAAAAAATTTGATTAGAAAAATATCTCTAACTATAAAAAATAAAATAAAATAAATGCTACTCTTTGTCTTCTGTCTTTTCCTTCGAAAACTTATTTATCTGCACATGTTTGGAAAATTAGTAAAACGTTATGCCTACGACGGAAGCACACTTTTCCTTCCCTCGCAGTAAAAACAAACAGGACTGAAAAATAAAATAATATTGCACATGATCCGGAAACCGTCCGTCGATGCTTATTCACCTTCCCAAGAATTATTAATACACAGCACTTTGATTCTAATCCCAACCAATCAAATTTATTTAATTTTATCTGTTTGTTTGTTGTTTATTGGATGCTTGCTAAAGCAACCGTAAATGATTTTTATAGTGAATCAACGTGAATGCTTTATTTTTATTATTATTATTATTATTTTAAATGTACTTAACCAATCAATCACGTGATGCCACAAATTCACATTTGACCAATTTGCTTATGTTAATTTGACCGACTAGATAAGAACGTGGACTTGATGTTGATTTTTTTTTAAAAAAAAAATAATAACGGCATACACAAAAAAGATGTGGTTACATTTAATGACTTCTGGATAAACCAAAAGAAAAAAACAAACAGTAGCACTAGTTGCCAATTTAATACCCCTTTCAGGTATTTTCCGACTAACTTCAGCTAATCCACCTTCAAAACTTAGTGAAGTTTGCTTATCAACAACGAAAATTTTGAAATAAAAATAAAAATTAGCATATCAAAATGAGGATTGTATTTTCATACTATATTTGAAATATTAATAAAAAAATAAAATAAAATTTAAAATTTTTAATATTTAATTTTTTATAAAAATAAAAATAAAAAATAAAAAATAATTTTATCAAACCATAATGATTATAAAAACAATAAAGACGACGGTGGTGGTGGTACTTATGGTAATAGCTATGATAGTGGTGGTAATAGTAGTTATGTTGGTGGTGATTATGGTTATAATAATGGTTGTGATAAAAGTAGTTAATGCACAATAAATAAATAAAATATATCATTATTTTGAAAAAAAAATTCATTCTCATTCTTTATTTTTATTTTCATATATTAAATGAAAATGAAGTTGTGTGTAATTTTTATTCTTATTCTCATTCCTACTTCATTCATTTCAATCAAACGACTATAGAGTGAGAATAAAAGAATAAAACTTTTATTCTCACTCTCATTACTCTATTCATGGCAAGCAAACATCACCCAAAAACTTTTGATAAATTATTATACTATTGACTTAATGCTAATATTATAATTTATACAAATATTAATATGTAATCTCCCCTCACCTCCTAAATAAATAAAAAATACCAATATAGTAAAATTATTATAATATATCCTAATATTATTATTAATTCTAAAAAAATTATCTAATATATTAAAATATCAACTACTTTAAAACTTTTATTCACTATTATACTCCTAATACAATACTAATACTACAATAAAATAACAACAATAATAAGTAAATTCAAACTCGTCTATGATTAGGAAAAAGATAAAATATAATAATTATTAAAATTAAGCTATTATTGTAATATTCGGAACCTAAGAATAAATAAATTAATATATATTAAAAACGTATGTGAAAATTATCTTGTGTGTCTAGAATAATTGGTAGAAGGGTGCTAGAATATTTAGTACACTTAGGGTAATTCTCTTGTGCTCATTGAATATTTTATAAGTTTTTACGTACATGAATAGTACTTTTATGCAAAATAATTGTTTTGAGTATTTTAAATGTGTGTGAAAATTTTTCTATGAGCATAGAAAAATTGCTAGAGGGGTGTAAGAATATTCCATGCTTTTTAGTGAATATTTTTTGTATGAACAAGTGCATTTTTATGTAAAATAATTTTTTTGAGTGCTTGAATGTATGTATAAAATAATATCATTGTTGAATAAATTACTATAGGAAGAGTTTGAATTTATTATGAAAATAAATTATTTTTCAAAAGTGTGTAGAACTAATTATATGCATAATGATTTAATTACACAAAATTAGGAATACAATTGTATAAAATTAAAAGCTTTAACTCTCAAATAAGTTTTAAAATAAATTTACGAAGATAAAAAGATGTTAGAAAGACCTTATAGAAGGACCAAAAGTAGTTAATTAAAATTAGAAGGAATAAAAGTAGTGGTGTAATTGAAAAAGTATGATAAATTAAGGGATTAAAGCTGACACTTTTGGGCCAAATCTTTCCACCTAAACCAGCTACCTCACACCCATATTAAATGATGTAATCAAATGGATGGCTAGAGATTAATGTGATGGACGGTTAGGATTTAAAGAAGGATGGATAGCTAAGATTAAACCAAATGAAGGGCTATGATTAAAAGATGAATCAAGGGTGGAGATTAAACCAAATGAAGGATAGAAATCAAGTCAAATAAGCCAAAAGTACGCCCATTTATATCTATAAATTTGGCTAAAAAGGAAGGAAGAAAATGTTGAAAAAATAGCAAAAACCAAGGCAAACTCTTGCAAAATTTTCCAAGGAATTTTCTCATTCCACCTAAACATCTAAAACCACCTTTAAACATTTAATTAAGTCCAAAATTTTAGTTGGAAGATCAAATTTTTTAAGGAGGAAAAAGTTGGAGCTTAGCCAAAACTTAAAGAGGAAAAGGGAAGAAAAATGTTCAAGGAAATCCAACCCAACGAGGATTAATTTGGAGTTTTTAAGGTAAGTTAATCTCACCTACATCATAAGAACTAGTTAATTGGTGTGAATTTTTTATTTTTCCCCATTAATTTAATTTTAGTTACATGAATTTAGTAAATCAAGGTTAGGGTTCTTAGTTATGAAAAATTAGGAAAATAGTTTAGAAATAGAAATTGATGAAATTGAAGTTAGAATATGTTAATTGAACATGAAACAAGTGTTAGAAACAAAAATTCCCTAGCCTACTTTATGGTGAAACTTTTAGCCCAAATAGTGAAATTTTAGGTTTCATGGTGTTCTATTTATTTGATGTTTGGTTGATTGATTATGTGTTATCTAAGTGTGAATAGATGATTTAACATGAGAATTAGTATTAAAATTGAAAAATTCACCTAGTTACACTAAGCACACATTCGACCAAGATTGGGTGAAATTAGGGTTTTTAATGCTTTTGGTGAATGAATGTTTGATGGATATAATTCATGTATTTTAGGTGTAATTAAATAATTGAGCAAGTGAATTAGCATATAAATTGAAAAAAACACCTAGCTTTGGTTTGAGGAATATTGGGCCTAAACTAAAAAAAATTAGGGTTAGAAATTGATTTGTGTATTTGGATATTATTAGTGGTTTAATGGTGGATTGATTGCAAGACATGTGGTAAAAGTGTGCAATTATGTGAATTATGGCATGGGTGAATAAATGGTGTAATGCCATGTTACTTAAAGGGTATTGCTAAATGTGTTTCATGGTTTGTACGATTATGTGAAATGTGATATTACATGTTATTCTATGTGAAATGTTTACCTTGATTGAGTTGTGTACCATGATTAGCTTGTGATACATGGAAAGGTAATGAAGTGCATTTTATCTTGTTGGGATATGCAATTTCATTGTCTAAGTGCTCTTTCATTCATGGCATGCACTACATCGATTTATCAAGCTATGCATTTACATTACAATGCATACGCATGCCAAGGTCATGAAAAGGTATAAAATCTTGAAAAGATTTTCTTCATGATTTTTTTTTAAATGCGAGAGGAAAGGATTTCATGGTTTCATGTTTTTCATGAATCGAGTATATGTAGACATGCACATTTAGATGCTTGATAAGACAGAGCATGTGCGGATGTGTACATTCG